GGAAAAACTGTGCGAAAAAAAGGGAGCCTCTTTTAACCCGGGGGGGTTAAATTTTCCCCCATAACTTATTTAAAAAAAACCCAACAGCCGGGAAAATAAAAATACCCTTTTTGGGAAGTGAGTTTTCCTTTTTTCTGTAAGGGGCCGATATGGTTCCATCCCCTTTTAAAAGGCTTGGCGTCAAAACCCCCGTTTAAGGGTTTTCGTACGGGGCCCCCGCCCCCAACCCCCCTTTTAAGGTCGGGGCGGGGGGAATTTTCAACTTTTTTGAATCTCGCAAAAAAGGGGGGGTTTTTTCCGAAAGGTTAAGGTTTTGTAACACACCATTTGCCAAAAAAAAGGGACAAGTAAAGCTAATAAATGTATTTCTCTGGTTTTAAAGCAAAATAAAAGGCCAACAAAGAGCAAAACTCAGAAAAGAGAACACTTTTTTTTTTCTTTTCCCTTCCCTCGGGAAAGGGAAATTTTGTTTCCCCTCCCCCCAGTAGAAAATTTGGATCTTTCTTTTTTGGGGGTTTTTTTTTTCCCTTTTCTACGGGACCCAACTGGGGTTTTGTGTTTAAATTTAACCTTTTTTTTTTTTTAATGGTTGACTTTTTTTTCTTTTTTCACCCGGGGTTAACTATGAAATTGAATTTTAAAAAAAGGGGTAAAAAGGGTTTCGAATTTTTTTCTGTTGATTCCTCTCCTGTAGGGCATAAATTTATTAAAGTTTATTGATCCGGAATAGGGGCCCCAAAACAGTGGGGGTTTGGGCCCCAGAACTTTTTTGCCCACCCGGGAGGTTTGGTTGGGGGGTTTTAACCCCATTTGGTAAAGTTTAGCCCGGGGGAAAGGGTGTGGACCCCCAAATTAAAAATTACCCAGGGGTGAAGGGGGGTTCCCTTGTTGTGCGGGGTTTTGGTGTGAATGCTTTTTTTTTAAAATAAGAACCTGAGAAAAAGTGCGTATTTTAAAAATCCCCCGGGTAGCAAAAATTTACCTGTAAGGGAATTTTTTTATGACACCCCCTTTTGATCCCGGGGCGTTCTTTAAAATTTTTACATTTTTTTCATGCTGGGGAAATAAAATTAAAGTTTTCACTATACCTCCAAAAGCCCAGCGGGGACACATCCCTCCCTTTAAAACAAAAAACCCCCTTTTTTTTTTCCCTTTTTCATCCTATTTTTTTTCTCTATTTACTGAAAATCTTGTTTTTTTGTGAACCCTTTCCCAAAAAATACAAACATTTTTGTAAATAACAGGGAAAAACGTAAGGGTTTTGACAGTGGGTTTTTGTGAAAAGGGGAGATTTTTGTTCTTATATCGGACCCACTGGAATATAGAAAGAGCTTTACTTCCTAGCATGAACAAAAGTGCAAATTGAAAAGGGGGAACAGCCAGAAAAATTCGGGGAAGTTTTTTTTCATTAACCATTACTTTTAAACTTTTTGGTTGGGGCAACAGCTTTTAAAAGTCAAAAAAGTTCCATGGGCTTTTACCTTTTTCAAAATTTAACAACCTGTAAAATGGGAAAGGGTTTAAAACACCCCCCCCTTTTGGGCAAAAAAAGCTTTTTTACATTTTTCTAGGAGAACAAGGGAAAATTTTTAATTGGAAAAGCTGGTTTTTTAAGTTTCCCCCTCAATAAGATAAAGTAAAACGGGGAAAACGAAACCAGAAACCAAGCTAGGGGAGTATCAGGGAAAGGGAACTCCAATAAGTAAAAACGGCTGTAAATTTGATGGAACAATTTGGGGGTCAGCAACTTCAGTTTAAATCATGGGACTTAGCAAAAATTTTTTTGCCTAGCATTTACCACTTCCCAAAGTATACCCAAGGACTTTGCATGGGGCGGAAACGGGGCCGTGAAAAAATACGAAATTTTAAATAAAACGTGTTTTTCATTTCCGGGTGGGGGGTGTGCATCCCGCCCCCTACCCACACCGCTATGGCGGGCCGGGGGAAGTCATCCCCGTTTTCCTGACTGGTGATTCCTGGCCACACTGCTGATTGTCAGCAAAGCTGACGGGGGAAGAAAAAAAACCTGGGGGTGAAAAAACAACACAGTTTTTTTCTGCTTCAAAATGGAAATGGCCCTGCCCCACCGGGGGAGGGGATAAAAAGTAGCATGTCCCACAAAAAAACAAAAACCAGAAACAAAATTTGTAAAACCCCACACAGCACCCCAGTTAACCCTTTGTTTCCCCCCCGAATTTTTTAACCCCCTTCCTGCCCGTGTCTTTGCTTTTTATTTTTTTGTATTTTTGGGCACGGGGGATGTCAGGGGAAAGGGGTTTTTCCCGTTCCCCCCCCCGGGGTTTCGAATGCCTGCCACAGTTCCGCAAGTCCCCCCTAAATCACTGATCCCCCCCATTACTAGTAAAAAAAAAAAAAATTCCAGAAATATATACCCCCTTTTGTAGATGATAACTAGAGAGAGCGAATCGAACTTGGCGAAGGGGAATTCGTTTCGAAGATTAAAAAAAAATTTTTCCCAAAAAAATGGCGGCGACATGTGTGGCGACGGGGGGGGAACTCTGGGGGGCGCACAGAAACCTGGGGCCCGACCCATAATGCCCATATTCAAGACATGTGATCGCAAAATTTGCCCAATCAGCAGCCAGCCAGCCCCACTGTGTAAAAGGTCGGCATAAAAATTTTCGGCCCTTTTTAGAAATTTTTCCTTAGCCCCCGGTTTATTCAAGAGAAACAACCTCTCTGTATTAGGGCGAGTTTGGGGGCCCAAAAAACTTTAGGGGCCCCAGAATCAAATTTCTTAGGGGCACAGAATTGTTACTCAGGGGAAAAGAATTCTTACTCAGGGGCACAGAACTGTTACCCCCCAGGGACACAAATTTTAATCCGGGAAGCCCCAGAATTGTTACTGAGGGACACGAATTGTTACTGAGGGGCACAAATTGTTATGAAGGGGGCACAGAATTGTTACTCAGGGGCACAGAATTTTTACTCCCGGGACAAGAACTGTTACTCGGGACACAGGGAAATTTTTACTCAGGGCACAGAACTGTTTTCAGGGGCACCCGATTGTTCTCAGGGGCAACCCCAGAATTTTACTGAGGGACACCCGAATTTTTTACTTGAGGGGCACAGAATTTTTTACTCAGGGGCAGACCCGAATTTTTACTGAGGGGCACAAGGGAAATTTTTACTGAGGGCAAGAAATTTTTACTCAGGGACACAGAACTGTTACTCAGGGACACAGAATTGTTTTCTCAGGGGCACAGAACTGTTATTTAGGGGCCCCAGGGAAAAAGGTTTCTTCAGAGACGACACAGAATTGTTTTTCGAGGGGCACAGAATTGTTACTCAGGGACAGACACAGAATTTTTACTGAGGGGCACAGAATTGTTACGAGGGGCACAAAAATCGTTACTCAGGGCCCCCAGAATTGTTCCCCAGGGGGCACCGAACGGGTTTCTCAGGGGCACAGAATTGTTACTCAGGGACACAGAATTTTACCAAAGGGGGCACAGAAATTTTTTACTCAGGGGCAGACACAGAATTGTTCTGAGGGACACAAATTGTTATGAGGGGCACAGAAAATTTTTAATCCGGGACAACACAGAATTGTTACTGAGGGACACAGAATTTTTACTGAGGGACACAGGGAAAAGTTACTCCCGGGGAAAACAAAAGAATTGTTTCTCAGGGACACAGAATCTTTTCTCGGGGCACGAAACCTTTTAATTTAAAAAAAAATGTCAGACAACACGCAGAGGAGTGGCAAAAGGGCAAAGTTTCAGGGGCAAGCAGAGGTTGGGAGCAGAGGAAGGGGTCGAGGCAGCACTATCGCCAAACCCGAGGCCAGTGCTCCCCGGGTCAACCAGCGTTCCCTGTCTCCCCGACAACCCTGCCGTCTCATTGGTTGGGTCGGTCCCTCTTCCCCCTTTCCCCCGGTTCCCCCTCTGACAAACCCACCCGCCAAAGGTCGGGGGGTACGTCAAAAACAAACCCTTAGTTGGCAATTTGGGCCCGGGGGCAAGCCCCCTGAAATCACGTGTCCCCTACCTGCCCCCCCCCGTCCTTTGGTGTTTCCCCCACCAAGCGGGAAATATCACACTGTGGGCTCAGCCTCATGTACAGTGGGAAGAAACTAACCGAGGGCGGTCAGGAACGGGGGGGGGACATCCGCCTCTTCAACAGCCAGGCGAAGAATACTGGCGAGGGGAATGGCCCCGGGAGCCGGGCCCAGGGGACAGGTCTGTCCTTTCCCGGCCCACAAAGCAGCCCCAGGGGGGTGTAGTGAGGCGGGGACCCTAATTGATTTATGAGGCTGATTTGCACTTTGGGACCTTTGCTAACAGGTATTGCTTCCCCAAACATCAGGGGAAGAGGGTGGCCGCTGGCAGCGGCAAAACAGTCGGGGGGGTTGCCCCGGAGGGAGCAGGGTTCCCCAGCAGTGTCAGTGGGGGCAAACGGCCCCAAAAGAGTAGAGCACCAGCTCCACTGCAGCCTACCCCCACGGCCAGGGGTGGTGCCGGGGTGCACGGAGGAAGTAGCAGTCAGCCAGTGAGGAGGATCGGGGGCAAAGTTTTCCTACTCGGCGGTGTGGCAATTTCTCGTCAAGCCGCCCGAGGAAGTAAACGTAGCCGTATGTCGACTATGTGGCCAGAAAGTCAAGCGTGGCCAGGGGGCCCATGTCTCCATCGCCACACTCTGCCATGTGCCACTTTCAGGTCTTCTCACACTGCTGGTGGGTTCCATTTTGTCATAGGGTGCTGGCAGATTACGGGCCTCCCATTGCTGCTGCCAGGCCCGTAATCTGTCATGGGCCCCTGTACCGCCTCCTCATGCTGCTGCCAGGCCCGTAATCTGTCATGGGTCCCTGTACGGCCTCCCATTGCTGCTGTCTCCATCGCCACACTCTGCCATGTGCCACTTTCAGGTCTCCTCACACTGCTGGTGGGTTCCATTTTGTCATAGGGTGCTGGCAGATTACGGGCCTCCCATTGCTGCTGCCAGGCCCGTAATCTGTCATGGGCCCCCGTACCGCCTCCTCATGCTGCTGCCAGGTCCAGAGTGTGTCATGGGTCCCTGTACGGCCTCCCCTTGCTGCTGTCTCCATCGCCACACTCTGCCATGTGCCACTTTCAGGTCTCCTCACACTGCTGGTGGGTTCCATTTTGTCATAGGGTGCTGGCAGATTACGGGCCTCCCATTGCTGCTGCCAGGCCCGTAATCTGCCATGGGCCCCCGTACCGACTCCTCATGCTGCTGCCAGGTCCAGAGTGTCTCATGGTCCCTGTACGGGCCTCCCATTGCTGCTGTCTCCATCGCCACACTCTGCCATGTGCCACTTTCAGGTCTCCTCACATCTGGTGGGTTCCATTTTGTCATAGGGTGCTGGCAGATTACGGGCCTCCATTGCTGCTGCCAGGCCCGTAATCTGCCATGGGCCCCCGTACCGACTCCTCATGCTGCTGCAGGTCCAGAGTGTCTCATGGGTCCCTGTACGGCCTCCCATTGCTGCTGTCTCCATCGCCACACTCTGCCATGTGCCACTTTCAGGTCTCCTCACACTGCTGGTGGGTTCCATTTTGTCATAGGGTGCTGGCAGATTACGGGCCTCCCATTGCTGCTGCCAGGCCCGTAATCTGCCATGGGCCCCCGTACCGACTCCTCATGCTGCTGCCAGGCCCGTAATCTGTCATGGGCCCCTGTACCGCCTCCTCATGCTGCTGCCAGGTCCAGAGTGTCTCATGGGTCCCTGTACAGCCTCCCATTGCTGCTCTCTCCATCGCCACACTCTGCCATGTGCCACTTTCAGGTCTCCTCACACTGCTGGTGGGTTCCATTTTGTCATAGGGTGCTGGCAGATTACGGCCTCCCATTGCTGCTGCCAGGCCCGTAATCTGCCATGGGCCCCCGTACCGACTCCTCATGCTGCTGCCAGGCCCGTAATCTGTCATGGGCCCCTGTACCGCCTCCTCATGCTGCTGCCAGGTCCAGAGTGTCTCATGGGTTCCTGTACGGCCTCCCATTGCTGCTGTCTCCATCGCCACACTCTGCCATGTGCCACTTTCAGGTCTCCTCACACTGCTGGTGGGTTCAATTTTGTCATAGGGTGCTGGCAGATTACGGGCCTCCCATTGCTGCTGCCAGGCCCGTAATCTGCCATGGGCCCCCGTACCGACTCCTCATGCTGCTGCCAGGCCCGTAATCTGTCATGGGCCCCTGTACCGCCTCCTCATGCTGCTGCCAGGTCCAGAGTGTCTCATGGGTCCCTGTACGGCCTCCCATTGCTGCTGTCTCCATCGCCACACTCTGCCATGTGCCACTTTCAGGGCTCCTCACACTGTGGGGAT